GAATGCTCCTACACACACCCCACAGTTCCCATCACTGGGCAGACAAATCTAACAGAGTCCCTCATCTAACCCATGGGTGCCAGCTGCCTGTCCCTTGTCTTTCAGATGGGTGTTAAAGGCCTGTCCCTAACGGGTGCTAACACCAGTCTCCTGCCAGACCCATGGGTGCTGACTGCCTGGCTCCAAGCTGCTCCATGGGCTCCATCCCTGCCCCTTTCTTATCCTCTGGGTGCCACTTATCTGTGTCCCCTCGTTGCAGCAGGGTGCTCTGGGGGTGCCCTGACCCCTGAGTGCCAGCACTTTGTGCCTCCCCTCCACCGTGGTGCTCCCTGCCCTGCTCTGTGTCCACTCCTCATCACCTGCCCTTTCCTGGGAGCTCCTCAAGCCATCGATTACAGTAACTAGGTCAGGCTCGGAGCACAGCTCCGGGGGGGCTGCTTTGATTTCTGCCCCAGGGAGGCTGTGTGAGCCAGGCTTTGCATGCATCTCCCTGCCTGCAGCAGGGCTCTTACCCCCAAGGCTCTTCGCTAACCCTGTTTCCATCCCTGCAATCTCCTGGCTTGTCAAAGCAGAAGCAAACAGCCCCAAACCACTGCCTATCCCACAGCAGGGAGAAAGACGCTGCCTTCCCAGGGAGCCAGTGGGCTCCTACACCCAAGTGCCATTTGTGTTCCTCCTTCTCACCACAGCAGGTAGGATCCCATCTGTGCTGCCGCTGCCTTCAACCCCCCAAACGTGTGATTTCCAAGCGCTGGAATCTATTTTTACACCATTTATTAACCTCTAACCTTTTATCTGCAGAGCACCGAGATGCAAAGACACATTACATCAAACAGGGTGCAAAGGTTGGCTTTTAAGTGGAGACAAAAGTGGAGCTGAGTAGCAGGGACCAGCCAGCAAGATCCTTCAGTGTGCTGGGGATGCACTGGACATCCCATGAGATTTGGGGATGCTCAGGAGATGAAGGTGGTTTGACGGATTTCTTGCTGCTAAGAGGTGGGCTGCGTCCCAGTTAAGGCTGTCTATGGGATCCGGGCATCACTTTGCAGAAGTGGCACATGGGTGGTGGCATGGGTCTGCTACAGCCATCAGGCCAGGAGGGACCCCGAAACAGTCCCAACCACGAGGAAGAAGCCAACTCCATCCTTACCCAGGCCTCTGGGCCCTGCCACTCAGTCTGCTCCTCCTCCTGCAGGGTGGGTACCGTGGTCCCCTCCTGCCTCACTTGGGGACTGACCATCTAAGAGGCAGATCACAGCCCTCCAGGGTCACACACAGTCCCTGTTGGGACACACACATCTCACACGGGTGTACACAACCCCACATGGGTGTGCACAAACCTGTGCAAGCATATACAACTCTACATGGCATGCACAACCCTGTATGGGCTCACACAAACAGGAGTGTGCACAACCTTGCATGGGATGCACAACTCCACACAAGTGTGCGCACAACCCTGTACGTGCACACTTGTGCCCCCAGGGCCACACACGAGTTTGCATGGGCATGTACAACCCTGCCTTAGCATGCACAGCCCTGCATGGGTACACAGAACATCTCATGTGTGTGCAACCCTGTACATGTACACACAACCCGCACAGGCACAAATCCGTGCAGAGGCACTTAAAACCGTATTTGGATGCTCACAGCCTCGTATGTACAAGCTCAGGTGTGCAGACACAAGCCCAAGAGAGCATGCACAGCCCTGCATGGGCACGCACCCCAGATGGACGCGCAGTACACCAGATGAGCACTCACAACCCCAGTTGGGTATGCACAGCCCCATACACATGTCCACAGCCCTGTACGGACAACCACAAGCCCAGATGGGCACGTACAACCCCATACATGCATGTGTAACTCTACAAAGGCACGCACAGCCTCAGACGTGGCATGCACAACCCCAGACAGGCAAACCCCCCCAGACAGACACCCCAAACCCTGCAGGGGCACACACCACCCCAGAACCCCCCCTGCACTTCGGAGCAGCCCTGAGGCCTTGCCCAGGGGCAGTTGTGCAACATGAGCCGTGGCTCCTGCTTGCAGTGACCTATGAGCAAGGACCCTTTTAATCGTGTTTGTATTGATATAATTAGTAACTCATTTAACGCCATCGATGTAACTATATTCCTCTATAAACAGAAGTATTAAACTGCCAAGCCATGGGATCGATATCCCACCGATGCGCACCACAGCTCTGCTCTGCCAGCCTCGGGGACCCCGACCACAGTGCTTGGTACCCCCAAAAACCACAGCAGCCCCAGCACTACCCTACTTCCACCCAACACTACTGCTCGGGTGCTGGTGCAGGGCCAGAGCGGGATGTCCTCATAGTCATACACAGGTCCAGAGACCCTGCTCCGTCCCTTCATCCCATTGCCATGGCGACATCTTTATTCCTTAAGGGATGGGGATAACGGGGCTTGTCAGGCAGGTTAAAGGTCAGAGGGTCGAACATGCTTTATTAAAGGGATACGAATAGACCTTGTGCCTGCCCCTCCTCCTCACTACGATTAAATAACATCGTTAGCACCTTTCACTCATACAGGAGATGCCTCTCATGAAGCTGGGGACCCCATAGCCCAGCTGATTCCTTAGAGGAAGGATGCAGTGAGGTGATAAGCCACCCCCAAGCATCTCAGGGCTGCCCTGTCCCCCTGGACCCTCACCACGCTGCTATGAAGGGGAGCTATAGCAGTGGGACCCCCCACAGCCCCTGCTCAGCTGCCACCTCCCGCTGGCAGCGTGGGCTCAGATCGGCAGCCAGGATTTAATCCACTTAATACGAGCTGTATCGATCCTGGACCCTGCTTGGCTCCCCTCTGCTTCGCGCACACACACACACCCCCCCAGCCCTGAGCCGCTTAATATGCACCACATTGATTAGCGCACTGCTAATTTTTCCATCTGGCTGCCGTTCACGCAGGGAGCTCAGGTAATGCTCATCCCCACACACACCCCACATGGTGCCCCCCGGGCTGATTGCTGAGGTGCTGTTACGGGGTCCTTGCACCCCTCCTGAGCATCACTGTCACCTCTGAGCTGGGGTCTCTGCCTGCTTCCCCAGGGAGATGGTGCACAGCCAGACACTGAGGTGTCCTCTGTGTCCTGATGGCACAGTATCATAGGATAGTAGAATGGTCAGGGTTGGAAAGGACCTTAAGACCGTTCAGTTCCCCCCCCCTGCCAAGGGCAGGGACTCCTCACACTAGACCATGTTGCCCAAGGCTCTGCCCAACCTGAAGGCTGGACATAGGTGGGGACAGGAAAGTCACCCGTGCCTCAGTTTACCTTTCATGCTTGCAACCACAGGACC